GCGCCCTGCGGGCCCGCGGCGACCCCCGCTTCCCCGTGGCCTTCGCCATCCTGGTGGCCGGCTTTGCCAGCCGTGCCCCAGCCCACAGCCACTTCTACCGGGAGCCCATCGCCCTGCCCACGCTGCACGTCGTGGGCAATACTGACGCCGTCATCGCTGCTCACCTCAGTAGGGAGCTGGCCCAGCACTTTGTGGAGCCCGTTGTCCTCACCCACCCCGGTGGGCACTTCATCCCTGCGGCTGCACCACAGAAGAGGGCCTACCTGGACTTCTTGGGCCGCTTCCGCCCTGGAGAGGGACAGTCTGAACTCCCAGGGGCTGGGGTAGTTTGATAACAGTTTCTGTAATAAATGGGTCTCCAGCAAGCTACGTGCGGCCTGCCATCTTGGTGAAATGTCACTGTGTTTCCGTGCCCTCCAGAGGGGCCAAAGAGTCCTCATCAGCTCACTACGCTGCTGTGCAGTATTAACCCAGGGACAGGCTAAATGGTTCTTTGTTATCTCCCTTCTTTGTTTTTGCAGCTTCATTGTATACATGAGTGTGTGGGTGTGACGGTGAGGGGTTTAAGGACAGGAGGGTGACACTGCTCTGTGTGTGTGAGGTGCTTTCAGAGCCTTGAATAGCTGTTCAAAATGAGGGTTCTTCAGCTCGGCCACAGGAAACGTCTGCAGAGCACACGGCTTCTGCAGCTGCTACACCCCAAAGGTTTGTGGTTTTTAATATCACTGGTGGAAGCTATTAAGCCAACCTTCCAGCTGGTCTGGGTCTAGAAAAACCTCTCATCCCTGGCAGTGCCAGGGCTGATGTTCGTTTCAGGAATGAAATGTCTGCTGGTTCAGCGTGCGTGTGTTGGGAGACTTTTGTATCTTCCTCTGTACAAAGTGCCTTCATGAACAAGCCAAACTTGTCGCTATGTTTTTGGCTCTGATGTTTTCGAGAAGCACACAGAAATCTTTATTGTTGTTACAATTGCAGACGTCCTGCTTGACTGCTGCACAGTTCAGCGCTGGGGCAGGCCAGGCTCTCCAGTCTGCAGCCCAGAGGTACCGTGCCCAGGGCCGTGCTTGCAGGGCTCCTCTCTAACCATGGCTTTGCTTGGGGGTACGGTGCAATATAGTTGGTAAAAGAGAGAAACTGGATGAAACTTTGTCATTTGCTCCTGCTTGGGCAGCGCTGGGAGCAGCGGGACAGCAGTGTCGGTGCTGCAAGGGACGGAGGCTGCTGTGGTGCGGGAGCGGGCCTGGGGTCGGGGGACAGAAGCACTTTCTGTGTTCACTCAGCCAGGAACAGGCCTGAGAGCTGCCGTGGGTAAAAACCAACCCAGCAGAAGTGAGCAGTTCTCGGGCCTGTCAGTTTTTTGCCCTGTGGTTTGTTGCTGGTTACACAGCAGCACGACAGCGGTGGTGGTAGGAGGATGTGGCTGGTTTCCCTCCAGCCCGGCCCTGGGCTGGTGTTGGCCTGGGGGGCTGGCGGGGCTGGGGCAGTGCCTGCCCGCTTTGCCACCTCACAGAGCGGCACTGGGTGGGCTGCATCACATCTGTGCTGCCTGCTGGGTGATGTGAAGGTGTGGGGTGTCTTGTCACCAGCCAGGGACAGGGGACCATTTTTGGGAGGGGGGGGAAGGGATGCAGTTTGGGGCTGCACACCCGGCTGCAGCGGCAGCTCCAGGGAGCAAGGCTGAACGCGGTGGCCAGCTGTGACAAAGCTCCAGGGCCTTTGTCTCCACCGCTTCCCCCACCCGAGCCCTTAGCCGCTGGGGAAGGATGGGAGGCACACGTGCACA